CCTCAAATGACTTGCCTAAAGCCTTCCAGCTAGTAAGTACCTTTTGTCACTATACCTCATTATACTGCCTTTATGGGGTTGCTACTATCTTTCTCCTGGTTAGGTGGGTCTTGTCTCCCTGGACCCTGCGTCTGGGGTCCTGACAAGAACCTATTTCTTTGATCTTACCCCATAGCCTTGTCCAGAGTTGGACATATGCTGCCTTTATCAGTGCTATAACTCAAGGGCTGGAAAAGTCTTAGAAGCCATGGAATATTACACACACACACACACACACACACACACACACACACACACACACACACACACCCCACCCTATTTTGCAGATAAAGAGGCAGAGGCTCAGAATCATTAAGTATCTTGTTTAGGGTCATACAACCAGTATCTGAGATAGGATTTGAATCCAGGTCCTCCATATTCTAAGCCCAGGGTACTATCCACTACCATGGCTCCTTAAATCCAGGTTCCCCCCCCAAAGGGTAAATATATCTCATTGTTCTCTGAAATAAACTTATTATGGATACCCCAAAGGGTGAAATAAACTTATTACGACCTTTTCCTGGGATTAGGTGGTGATGACTTGAGAATTCATTACTGCCAGGCTTTTCCACATGGTGGAAGACACGCAGAGTTGCCCTTCTCTTCCTTTCCCACTATCCACCCCCAACTAGCCTGCCAACGGCAAATATGTGCTCCTACACATCTCTAGTTTAACTAAAAGGTTCTCTCTGTATACAAAATCCCCAAACAACATTCCCAGTTGGCCTTTCCACCTTCACTAAAGCCCTGTTGGGCTTTTATTGAGCCTCTTTGGAGACCTTGAAGAAAGGAATGGCAGAGCCTTCCCAAATTCTGCCTCCTCCCTACATAGGAAGGAATATTTTTAGCTCTGGGGCAATATAGGATTTTAAAATTCAGCTTCATCAGTAAATAAATCAATAAGCATTTATCAAGTGTCTAATATGTGCCCAGCATCATTCCTGGTGTTGATGATAAAGAGACAGAAATGAAGTCTCTGACCTCAAGGTGCTTACATTCTATGGGGGAGACAACACGGACACATGTAAGCATAGACAATATATAGAAAAGAAACAAGGGCACAATCCCAGCAGGTTTTAGGTTCTTCCTTAGGTTCCCAGATGCAAAGTAATCCGTTTGCCACAGATACTTATCTCCTCTTATAGGACTTATTTGGCAGCAGTTGCTGAGGAAAGCTTAGAGGACCCTCTAGGAAGTGAGGTCCCCTCATGCCAGGCCCTGGTCTTACAAGAAAATGTTTGGCTTCATCATCTCCATGTGAAAGAATGTCTCCCGTTCTTCTCAGTAAATTATAAAGACTGAGGATGGGCCAAAGAGAGATGGCTAGGGAAGGATTTTAAATGCATGTAACTTGCTAACCCTGGGGTCTCTACTAGGAGTTCAGGAGTTCAGTCCCTTTCTGTTGACCCAGGCAAGGTTTATAAAGATTAGCCTTTAAGGCCTTACCCTGAAAGCCCAAGCAGTTCCCCTGCCCTCTCAGCTCAGCTGTTAGCTTCAGCGGGAATGCCCACCAATGCAGCTGTTTTCATGAACATCTGTGGAAGGGATGCATGCAACATCTGGACTCCACGGTTCTGGGATCCTGGAAAGAGGGAGAGGTGAAGTGAAACGGGACATATCTCCCACTCCCACTTCACTCCAATCCAGCTGCATCTTGATCATGGGAGCAGAAGACCTCTCTGCCCTGGACCCCCAGGCTAGGGGAAAGAGAGGGCAATTCTGAGCTAGCAAAACAGCTAAGTACAAGTTTCCTACTGCTTGGGGCACTAGTTTGAGGACTGTAGGGACAAGAAAGGACAGACCCCAGCCCTTACCTCTGGAGTCCTTCTCCACCTAACTTCACCCACTCTCTTACTGGTTCCTGGGGCCAGTGAATGGGGCAGAACCTTCCTAGACCCCAAGCCCACCCTGCCACCTTCCAAACTTTGGATTCTGGGGTAATATGTGAATGCATAGTCCTCCCTTCCCCAATACCCCATTTCCCCTTAGCACATCTGGTCAGCACCTCTGACTCCGGGGAACCGAATCTGAAAGGGAGGGGTTCTGGGTTAGTGCCTAGGGACCAAACCTTTCTCAATCCTCTTTGATCTGAGGCCAGAACAAAAGGAGAGGGGTGCCCTGGGGCTGGGGGAGGGAGGCCTTGGCCCTTTCTGGTTTGGACTAGTGTTTCTAACTGTGAAACAGTCAAGCTACTAGATTTGATTCGAGGCTGGATACTCCCTCTTCCTTCATGCAGGGGTCTGTCTACATTCAAGACGAAATGTGCATGTAAAATAAAAAAATTTAAAAATTGAGTTTTTATGGAGGCAGATTGAAGAAGTTGTTTTTTTGTTTTTTTTTTTCCTAACAGGAGCATAGAAGATGGAAGTGTATGGAGTGTAGCTGTAGATACAACCGGTACAAAGTGTAGACGCTCCACCCAATTGAAGTTTTCACTCGCTATTTCAAAGAGAAGAATTAACAATACATAAAAATAATAACAGAAGTATGAGTCTGAAGAGCTGGAAGGTACTTTAGAGATCATCCAGCTGAACTCCCTCATTTTTTTGGTGGTTATTTTTTCACAGGTTGCCAAGACTAGAGAATTTGTCACCTAGTGGTCATCCTACTGATCTGAAGCCTCCATATTCTTTGCTAGGTTGGGCTTCAGACCAACTTCTTTCAGAGTGCTAGTCGGTCACTGGGATCAGAGTCGAAGCCTTTGGAGTACAGTAGAACCCACTTCCATACCAGGAGTCATGAAAAGAGGTCTTTGGAAACTGAGGTCCAGTAAAGGGAAGAGCTTGTCCCCACATGTGACGATTATCCCACACACCACAGTTTACAGATTGCACTCACAACATCATAGAGTGATACGTACCTCAAGTATAGTCTTCTTTTTAAAGAAGAAACTGAGGCTCAGAGAGAACCAGACCTTCTAAGGCACTAGGATTCTGCGCACCACTAATCCTCCCACAGCTCCCACCTCTATACACCCCTCTCTCTCAGGCCCCTTTCACACCCATACACCCACCGCCTTGGTTCCCTATCTGGGAAGAACAAATGGGTACCAGAGCTGCAGAAGTCGCCTCTAGGGATGCTTTTCCCAGGATTCTGATGTTTATTTTTATTTTTGATGATATGTAAGGGAAGGAGGAAGCATCTTCCTAAATCCCATTTTCTCCCTGGTACTCCCTAGCTCGGTTTGAGCCCTAGCTGCCAAGCGGAAGCACGGGGCAGGGAAAAGATGCTCCTATCTTGTAAGCTTTCATTCTTTCCTCTCAAACTCTCGGGTCCGCGCCGCAGGTCTATGTCCGGTCCTAGGCTGGGGGAGGTCCGGGTCACTGCCCAGGCGTGGATCACCCAGAGCTTCGGGAAGGCTAAGGGGAGTAAGCCCAGCCCCTAAACCCACGCCCCGGCGTTGGCGGGTTTCTTTAAATAGAAACCTATACTTTGCTCCTCGCTCGCCCAAGGCGAAGGAAGCCGGGACTAAGCTTTTATGAAGGTTTAAATGCAAATGGACGGATGAGTGACGGCAAGGCAGCCAACATCAAAGGCTCCCCAGAGTCTCCGCATTAATGAGCCTCTTTGTTTCCCCCGGCGAGATTACAACAGGTTTCCCTCTCTCAGCCAGGGTTTTATCTGTGTTCTGGCGGGCGCTAAATCTCTGGCCCAGCTTTTCACCAGCAAACTATGGGTAGCAGCTCCCACGAATCCAGGCCCTAAGCACCTTCACAAGGTCACACAGACACAAACACAGACACAGACACAGACATACACACACACACACACACACACACACACACGGGAACACACTCAGATACAGTCCCAGAGCGCTAGGGTTGGGTGGCCTTGGGGCTGCCGCCTCCAGCAGTACTGGGGCAACAGGCGACCCAGCAAGTACTGCCTAGCGGTCTATGAACCCTCTCGCCCCAGCCAGCGCCTCGAGAACCCGGGTATGTAAGCCTTGGTATGTATCCTTGCGGGCACAGGCGGTGCGGGGAAACTGGGTGAAAAAAGGTGCCGCGAAGGTGCTTATTCCCACGTTCCGGGGGCGGGGAGCAGCTAGGAGACCCAAGCACTTTCTGCTGGTCCAGAGATGGAGCGCAGCGGGGACTGGGCGGAGGCTGGGCGGGGCTGAGCCTGGACGGGACAACTGGACCAAAGTCTCCAACAGATTTCTAGAGAAGGCCAGCGAATTCGGGATCCTGAGTCTTAAACCGTTACAAACTGGCGCCGTCCCTGCCCTCGCCCCCGCCCCCTCTCTGAGCTGTGACTACCGGGGGCCCTTGTCCCCACCGGATCCCTCGGACGCTAAAGACCTTTTCGCAGCCCCTAGGCTCTACACACACACACACACACACACACACACACACACACACACACACACA